GGGCCCAGCCCCTCCGCTGGGAGACCGGGTGGTCGCGCCGGGTGCCATGTCCTGCTGGCACAAGCGCAGGAGGGATGAGAAGGAGCGAGGGAGGGTGCCGAGGCACCAGCTGCCAGCCTGTGTTTACTATCCCCTTGACTGGCAGACATATATCTTATTAAGCGTACCCAGTTGAGGCTCTGTCTAGCTAAAAGCCTAAAATCCCAGTTTAATTGGAAACTGGGGGGGAAAGGGGGACAGGAAATGTGCATGGGGTCACAAAACACACGCCTGCCAACAGCCTGTCCAATACAGTTCACATCCTTTATCCCTGCACAGAGGGAAGATGAGCTCTGCTAGGATCAGGTACCTACTTAAAAAAAAACAACCCTGAAACTGCTTGCCAAAGACTGAAGTAATCCTCCTTCCCGAGGAAGTCTCTGAAATGGAGAGAACCCACAAAAGCACAACGCAAAGCCACAACACTCAACTCTCCCATTATACACAGATTTGCCAACAACATTCGTCTGGGTACAAAAAAAACCCCAGGTAGGTCAGGACCACGCTCTGTCACCCATCCCAAGAAAACAAATCCCACAGATATTTTAAGAGGAAGCACACTACCAGTAGCCTCCACGCCTCTCCAGGGGGAAGCAGAATATCCAGTTTTTAATTGGCAGCTTAGTCAGAGGCCGCTCTGTCTTCAGCTGCTCACCTTGCTCAAACAGACACACCGTGTTCAACTGTCTTCCTAAAATGGGCTTCGGGGATGCTCTCTTGCAGCACTCAAGCCGATGTTTACGACTTGCACCAATTATTTGGGGGTGGGGATGAAGTACAAACATATGGTGTCAGCATTCCCCTGAAAAACCGGGAATCTAGGAGCACAACCAGGTATCCACGCTGGCCTAGGTCAGGAAGAAGAAAGAACTGACCAGACTTGTTTGCTTGGTCTAGTTTAGTGGACAAGAAGGATTAAATAAATTTTAAAGAAACCCTCAAGTATTTGAGGCTTTATTACAAGACAAAAAAAGGGGGTGTACATTCTATGCTTTTTCTGCACTAGTCCGAGTTCAGAGGCTTGGCTTCAGGACGACAGTAACCATAAGCAGATCCCACACCTCAAGTCCACCAACAAGGTGGTCAGTTCTGGAAGGAATCCCCTTCAGGACTGACTCAGCAACAAGGAAAAAAACACAGGAACAAGGGGATGGAAAAGAAGGAAAGAAGTCTTGCCTTTAAAACCTGGTTTAAGGAATTACTTTAGCATAACAACTTTTGGTAGGTCACCGAGACCTGACCAAGTTCAAATAAGAACAGACAAACACCAAAGAAATAAGCAACCAGAGTTTTTCAGAGAACAGCAAGGAGAAGCCATTTTCAGAAGGCAAGCGCCACGGCGTGGAGACAGAGCCTTTTCCAGCAAAAATAGCAAGAAGCAAACCCCTGAAAGAGCTCACCTAAATGTTAACAAGAGCTCATACGGCCCATACTACCTCAGGGGGAGACTGCACAGAGCCCTCACTCCTCTGGCTTTGAGGCACCCAAGGGAGAGGACAGCTTGGGATCCCAGCAAATTAAGCAGGAAGAGAAGAGCCAGTTAGTAAATCTTTTAATCTCATGTCTCATTCTAATCCAGAAGCAAAATCTATTAAGAAATCAGAAATTACAGATTGGTAAAGGAACAAAGGCCTAAATTTGTTACCACCCTATTTGCAACACAAATGCCTCAAGATACTTTGAGGAGCCCACATCCTCATCAATCTTCTGCAGAAGACAGTGAGGAGACAATTATAAATCATTGCCTCCTCCTTTTTCTTTAAGAAGTACTTCCCCTTCCTAAAAGGGGAATACTCTGTACCTTGAAGATGAAAAAGAAGAGTTAATTAGCCTAATAATACCAACAGCTGCCAAGATACTGCATACAGCAAATACTTGCAGAAGGCACAGAAAGTCAGAGGTACCACTGACTCTTCAGGTTGTTGACACGATAAGATGTGCTCGAGCAGGACCCCCTCAACCTTCTTCTACTGCACCAAAATGTGGTAATGTAGTAATAAAAAAAAAAGAAAAAAAAAAAACAAAACAGCTGAAGCAGCATGGCTCCAAGACAGGAAACAAGTCAATATCAATTGTAAAAGGTATTATGGACAGGACTTCCATGACGAGAGGCTTGCCCACATCGCCAGCATTTCCCAAGTGAAGGCTTACTGGGCCACGGGCAGAACACCGAGGCGCCGGCAGGGAACAAAGGGCTGTGCGGAGGGAACGCAGGGTCCCCCTCAGACCCCCCCGTTTATCAGCACACCGACGCGCTGAAGGAGAGAGGCCAAATAACCACTTGCATCAGAGAAGAGCAAACAGGGGAACGATGCCCTCTCCTCCCCGCTACGCAAACACGGCGGGTGACCTTGCGAGCACCCCTCCAAGCTCCGGAGAGAGGGCTGGCCCCCGGGGAACCGGCTGGCTGCCGCCTCACCCT